GCACGCGATTTCCGGTTAGCTTCTTAGCTTAGCCTCCTTCACAGCAACATACGTCGCAGCCATCTGATCCAATCATTTTAAACTTCAGCAGAGGCCACGCCTCCTGCAAGAATCACCTGTCTATGCATCAAGTCCAGACCCTTGTACGAAGCAAAGTGAAGGACAGGGTCTGGTTTAAACCAGGCTAGCAAAATTTACATTTAATAAACATCCAGATGTCATCCAGAAGCTATTTTTTAAAAGAAAAAAAAAGATTTTGGAGGCTTGCAGATTAAATTTGCTCAGTATGCATTCAATATTACTAATCAAAAGTACAATAAACTACAATGACTTGTTTTTTCCTGATTTCATTCTAACTTGACCTATTTTATTAATTTACATTTTATTATAGTAATATTTCTTTTTATGTATGGCATTTCCCCAGACTCCCTGTTTTGTTCTTGTTTACAATAAAGCTTCTGGGGAAAAAAGACACCCAACAGTCGGATACAGTGCTTTTTTAACTTTATTATAAACAGAAAAACGTGTAGTTTGTTGAATACAGAGCACTTGTAAGCTGTGGCAGGACATATTTGTAAATTTGAGCCTCTCTAGAATGCAATTTGGGTGTGTACGATCATTTTCTTCAAATTACGATAATTTTGAGCTGCTGATATGATAGTTCAACACCCGTCTGGCAACACTGGTTTACACCAAAAGATCGCTGATTTGCTCATTGAGCTGTCAATTGAAAAGAGATTCAGCCTCAGACAGATCATCCAATCATCATGCAGAAGCTGAGCGTCTGGGCCAGCCGAGGCCAGCCCACTGCCCCATAGACCCCAGAGATGCTGAGCGTCCGACGAGCGGGACAAAGCCAGAATTTATCCAATGACTTGTCTCATTTCGCTGCAGTTTTTGCATCACTATTAAACTCTGTGGACGCTGTTTAAAGCACAGTGAAGCTGTGGGAATTGTTATTCTGAACAAAAGTTGAGTGCGTTGTAGTGCATAAATGACACGCACACACAACAGTAAATATTTGATCACTTATTTTTCTGACATTACCCCTGCAGTCGTAGAGCAATCGCCTCTGCCTTAAATTGTCTTGGCACCTTACAACCAATCATGTAGGGGTCTAGGCCCATGTAGACCAACAGTAGGGAAAGAGCATCACTTTCACGTATTTCACAAATGATGCTAATTTGTACAGGTTTTTAATTTGAATTGTCTTCTTAAGTTGTCTTCTGCATTTTCATTGAGTCCTTGACGACAACTGTTCAGCTGTTACTGTATAGTTCCCAGCACAACACATTAAGGTTTGGGGTTGTAAAAGTAACAAAATGTGGAACAATATGGATGATTACTTTTTCAGTGCACTGTAGTGGCATTGTGACAGCATGATGCTCTTTGCTCTCCTATATCTCAAATATTATAAAATACTTCCTGTACATTCCTGTAGATGTAACAAGAAATCAAAGCAGTTTACACGTCTGTGTATGAAACCAAAAACAATACAGAGATGTAGTTTATCAGCAGCAGAGCCTGTGCTCATTTTTGTTTTCACATCACTGCTGTGTTCTAAGGTTGCCCAAAGACAGGCAAGTCCAGACAACTTTAAAGGGGCAATATTATGTGTTTCTCAGGCATACATTTAAATACTATACCATAATAAAGTATCTATGTCACCTTTAGTTGTTATTAAAATGCTGTTTTTATGTTTAAATAGAAAATAAACTTCTCTTCACTTCCTCTTTTAAACGCCTTGAAATTGGCCTCTGTCTCTTTAAGAACCACCCACCTTCCGCTTCCGTTTTGCCCATTTC